AGCAGCAGCAGCAGCAACAATAACAACCACAACCACAACAACAACAACAACAACAACAACAACAACAACAACAACAACATACAGCAACAACGGCAACAACACAAATAACGTCGTCAACAACAACAACAACAACAACAACAACAACAACAACAACAACCACAACAACAACAACGACAACGACAACGACAACGACAACGACAACAACCACCAACCACAACCAACAACAACGACAACGACAACAACTACAACAACCACAACAACAACCACAACAACAACCACAACAGCAACGACGACGACGACGATGACGACGACGATGACGACAACAACAACAACAACAACAACACTTGTTGGTCCGCTGCGCTGGCAGCCGCTAGCGCCTTCGAATAGCCGGCGGGCCGGGCCGCGCAATGAGAACACCGAGGCAGATGGAAAAGAGGGGGGAGCAGCAGAGGAGGACAGGGTGGAGGCAACAGACGCAGAGAGCGTGCGACATGACGACGTGCGGAGCGCGAAAGCGGCCTCGGGCGCAAGAAGCCGGTGCACTCACAGGATATGCGAACAAACGGTAACCAGATCATGTCGAAGAGCGTGTCTCGTCTGCGGTGACCCCAGGGGGGAAGTCAGAGGGGGCGGGCCTTCTCAAAGGCTCGAAAGGCCTCTGGCCATCCGACAGGTGCCTAAGCCCTCCTCGAAGACAAGAAAGACTTCTCAGAGGGCCAGAGGGCTTTTGAGCAGGCCTGCCCCCATCTCACTTCCCCCTGGGCGCGCCGCTGAGCTATGCGAAAAATACAAACCAAGTCGCGTCGAAGAGCTTGGAAGAACAAACAACTGCATAAACATAAACTTTCGGCGCTCCGCGCGGATTTCTTGGATCTGCGCTGGGACCCCCTCCCTGGCGGCGCCGGAGGCGCCGCCAGGGGGCTCCGCGGACCCAAGAAATCCGCGCGGAGCTCAGAAAGTCTGTGCTTGTGCCGTTTGTTTCTTCCCCGATTGTCCTTGTTGATGGGCAGGCGCATCATGCACTTTGTCATCTCGTTGCGCAGGTGCACGTTGGGCAGCTGCCCGTCGGGCAGCGGCTGCAGCCACCTCTCGGCGGGCCGCGGGGGGCGGCGGCCCGGCCTTCCGGGTGCGTGCAGGCCCCCTGGGCAGCTCGCGAAGGCTTCCCTCGCCTCGGGGTCCTTGATGGCAACTGCGTCGGGGGCGTCCCAGGGAGGGGGGGGGGGGCGTCCAAGAGGGTGGTTCGCGAGTCTTGGCCCGAGGCACGTGCGCGGCCCCCCAGAGGCGGGGGGGGGCCAAGGGACGCCTTGAAACAAGCAGGGAGGCCATGAAGTCCGGGGACGCGGCATGGCCCCGCCGGAATACCCCTCCCCCCCCCCAGTCATCCCTCCCCCCCCCCTTTGGCCGCCCCCCCCGACTGCGCCTCGCCGAGACCGCTCTGGGGGTGCCCGACATCGTCCCGAGAGGGCCGCCGGAGGCCCGAGCTGTGCGGCCCGCAGGCCCAGGCCCGGCACAAGGAGACCCGTCGTGCGCGGCTCGCCGATGGCTGCGTGCGGTGCCACCATGGCGGCGCGAGTGGATCAAGGCGTCGCTCGGACGTCCATGCCCCGTGCACCGCTCGGTTTCCTGCGTGCGCTTTCCTGTTCGATGGTCCAGGATGCTCCTGGACGGCCCCCGCCGAGCGAAGACGCACACGCCCGAGCGATGCCAGGGAGTGGCCCTGGTCTCCCCAGCGCCCCCCGAAAGCCGCACACCAAAAGTTGCTCGGACGCGCAGCCAGGTCATGATGGTCGAGGGTCGAGGGTCGGGCTCGAGCATCGAGGACCGAGACTCCGGGATCAGGGGCTCAGGGTCCCCGATCGAGACTCGAGGGCCGATGATGAAGGATTGGTCTTCGACGACCGAAGCCCGAGGAGCGAGAAAGGAGGATCGAGGATCGGGGTTCGAGGATCGAGGCTCGAGGCTCGAGGATGAAGATCCGAGGCTCGAGGATCGGGGAGGAGGGCACGGGGTCGAGGCTCGAGGCCCGACTCGGGCCCCTTCCGAGCCCCCGGGGGCCCCCCCGGAGGCCTCGGGGAAACCTCGGGAGGCCTCGCGGCGGAGGCCTGGGCGCCTCGCGACGGGACTCGGCGGCGAGCGAGGGGGTGAAAGCCGGAAGGGCGCGCGCCCTCTCGGAAAAGGCTCGGAGGCCCCCGGGTCTGCTGGGTTCCTCGAAGGCACGGAGAGCTTCTCGAAAGGCGCAAGGGCTTCTGAGGAGTCCCGCCGCCTTCTGAGAGGGCCTTCTCCTTCTCGCTTCCCCCCCCTCGCTCTCGCCGCCGAGAGACCTCTGGGGGGGGGGGGGGGTCAAACAGTTGAGCAGGGGTCCACGGCAAGATCTGCGCAGCCATTCCATCGCAGCGGCGGCCACACCGACCAGCCCAGGACGCCAGGACCTCGTCCAGGAAGCACCACAGCACCGCTCAGTACTGCTGCGTCTGATTGCAGGGGCCAGGGGCGAAAGACGCTTTTTCGGTCGCAGCGGCACGTCTCCACGCCGCGGTCCGGGGCAGCCGAGGGGCACAACGTGGCCAAACGCGGCACGGCGTGATAAGGAGGGGCGCGGGCGCGGGCGCGGGCGCGGGGGGAAAGGAGCCGAGGGCAACAGAGCACGCTCAGAGCAGACAGTTGCGGAGAAAGAGACAATCAACCAGACCCTGGCCGGACGAGCATGATGGCCAGAGCGTGCAGATTCAGCATTGCTCTGAGCGCGCTTCGACCAGACCAGGAGCTCCCTGACGATGTTTTCCCCCAGGCCGTCGGAGAGACTGTAGCATCGCGGAGCGTGGCCCGTGCAGGCGCCCCCACCAGGGCCGCCGAGTAGAGCCAAATAAAAGCAGAAACGTTGAACTGCAACACCGCCTATTGTCAGGCGTGCGCGGGGGCCAAGACCTCCAGCGGCTCAGAAAACTACGACGGCGTGCGTTTGCCCTCCGAGTTTGGGCCGTGGGCCCTGGGACCCACCGAAAAAAATACCCAGGGCACGAACGAAATCCGTGCCCGATATTGAATCGAGAAGTCTAGAATCCCGAGCTGAAAGAGGAAGGACTTCGGAGGTGAGCCTCCGTCGGGTCGTCGCTGACAGTCGCAGCCCCACAACCCAGGGGGGCAAGAAGACTGAGAGCAGACCAAACTAAATTGAAGCACGGACCGAGCTTCAGTAGTTTGTACAGGCGAATCAGTTTCTCCCTGCTTTGTATATTAGACGTCGTGTAAAACACACGGAGCGTATCTCTCCATGACAGTATGTCCGTCGCTGTCATTTGGCTTGCGCTTGCGGAGTTGTTTCGCTAACCACGCAAGCCTCAGCATACAAAGGCAGAGCATGCAGAGATTGCGCAAGTGCTATTGCTATAGAGTTCCCGAAGATAGTCGGCAAGGGTCTTATGCACCACGATCCTTTCGACCTGATTATGAGTCCGTTGGGTGGACGATGATCTGATGCGTGTTCAGAACATCGCTCCTGATGATGCCTGATCGAAAAAGATGAGCAGGAGAATGAGAAGGTCGGGTACATAACGGAGCTGCTGGTGCCACAAAGCACTCCCTGTCCACGAAATGCCACGAGGCATTGGGACACGGAGCAGCTCCTGGGTGCCGCAGAGCACCATGGGCCCGTTCTTGAAAAGCACCCTGTCCACGAAATGCCACGAGGCAATGGGTCGCGGAACACCCTGCTGAAAGGTGGAAACCGCCATACCCGCCCCCGTGCCGCCTGCACGCTGGGGCGAATCAGATGCCTGTTGGCTGCCTGGCCGGGTTTCTGTAGCTTTCTTTTCTGGGTGCCCCCCCTCATCGCACGCATACGGCAGGTTCGTGCCGTGACGACTTCGGCGTTGGTTTCTGACACCGCGGGGATCATTCAACCTTGAACGATCGGCCATTTCCGAAAGGTCAGATCGCTCAGCATCGACCGATTCTGGGTCGCAGGCGGCGTTCAGCGTCGAGCGGTAGCGGCGGGGTCGCCGCCGGTCGACACGACGCGAACCTACCGTACTCCAACGAGCGCTCATCCGAGCCGTGCTCCCCAGCGCCTACCGCGCTCTCAAGACGGCTCCCAGGCAGCGCAAGGCCGCCCCGAGATGACTGCAAGATGCACCAAAACAAGTTCGAGACGGCTCAACGACCTGCCAGAGGCAGTACGAAGCCCCCAAGGAGCGCTCAAGGAGCTTTCCAGCAAGGCACTGCGCTTGTTCCCAGCGATGAGAAACACAGCCCCAAGAAGGCCTTAGAACCCCACGATGGCCCTGGAGGGCCAACACAAGCCTCCAAGACGTCCCCAGGGCGATCCGAAGATGGTCCGAGACCGCGTCAAGACTGTCCAAGCTCCATTAAAGTAAGGCTCGAAGACGAACCCAAAACGCGCCCTGTAACGGCCCCAACATGGGACTGCCGACCAGCTTCGGGAGAGTTCGGTAGAGCTGTCGCGCCCCGCCCATAACGGCCAAAACCCCCGAAAGGACCCCAACAGTCCCGAACGGCCCCAAAGAGGACCCCAAGAAGCTCCGCACTTCAAAACAAAACAAAACAAAACAAAGAAGCACGGGGCGTTACGCCAACGCCCAACCACAAGCATGCATCGTGATCTCCCAGCCCCGCCCTGCCACAGCATCACGGCGCCGAAAGCGTAAGGACGTCGGCTGAGCCTCTGCAGGCGTCCGCTCCCCGGGAATCCTAGGTCAAGAGCCAAGGATTTCAAAAACTTCCAGAAACGTCCATTATGCCCAGCGCCAGCGATCCACAAAGGCCGATGCGATGGCCCCGGATGCTCCCAGGGAGCTCCCCGGAGGCTTCTGGAGGCCCCAAAAATCCGAGCCGTCACCACCAAAAAATCCGAAACGGCAAAATCGCCCGCAGACCTGCACCGAAAGCTTCCACGGGAGGAGCCCCGACCCCGCCCGAGGCGGCGGCCTCGCCAGCGCCTCACAGCCCCCCGAAGAGACGAACACGTCCGACAGGCACCCCCGCTTTGGGGCCAAGAGGCTTGGCGAGCTGACACCGAGCGGCGAGCGACGACTTCGAGAGACGAGCAACGACGCCGAGCGACAGTCGACAACGACGCCGAGCGACGAATGACGACGACGACGTCAACAAATACCGACGAGCAGCGACGACGACGACGACGACGACGACGACGACGACGACGACCACGGCCACGACGACGACGACGACGACGACGACGACGACGACGACGACGACGACGACGACCGACGACCACCGACGAACGAAGACCGACGACCGACGACCGACGACCGACGGCCGACAACCGACGAAGACGATAAGCGATTACGACGACGACGACGACGATCGCAACGACGACGAGCGGCACCGAGCGAACCGAGCATCGAAATCGCCGCGGGACCCACGAAGCGGTGATGGGCGCACAGCCGCTAGATCGGCGAAGGCGTACTTCTGCATGATCGCAACAGCCTCGGCGCGCGCACCCTTGAAAGCCTGGGTACACACGCGTGCACACTTGCACGCGTGTTCGCAAGCATGTGAGGCATGCCAACTCCCCGTGCACGTCGTTACGCGTGAACGTGTGAACGCAACCGCACGATGGAAACCGTGCATGTGGCCTTGTGGAGTGCGCGTAAGTGCAGCATGTGCGTCATATAGATGGGTGGATGCGTAGGCCCCGCGGGTTCGTCAGTGAATACGCATGAACTTTGTCATGCGTACACGGTGGATGTGTGTACGTGTGCGTGCGTACGCAACCTTACTTGCTCTGCTAGGTACAGCACAAGGTGGGAGCAGGTGGCGGGGGGATTTATATCACAGCACCCTGAAAGGCTCCACCACTGGCAAGCCCAGAACGGTCAACAACCTGCACAAAGCCCCCGTGCCCATGCAAGCAACCTTGCGTCCAGGCCCCAAGCCGCATTCCAGCTGAGGTATTGCCACTAGCTCAGCGAGCCACGCCGAAAAGCCTCTGGGTTTGCAGCCCACCAGTCCCGCTCCGTGTGTTGGGCAGCGCCCCTCCGCCATGTTTTCCTCTCGCCGCCGGACAGTCAGTCTCCCGAGCGCCCTCGGCAACTCGAGCGCGCCGAGCGGATTGCCTGCGCCGCGCCGCGACGAGCAAGATGTTCGCGGCGCCACGCCGTGCAGCCACCAGCTCAGATCCGCTGGGGCGCATGCCGATCCTGGCTGCGCCCGCCGAGCGCGCACAGGGCAGGGCGAGAGGGGAGCGGCAAGGGGGAGGAGGAGGAGGAGGAGGAGGAGGAGGAGGAGGAGGAGGAGGAGGAGGAGGAGGAGGAGGAGGAATAGGAGGAGGAGGAGGAGGAGGAGGAGGAGGAGGAGGAGGAGGAGGGGAGCGCCAAGGCGGGCAGAGGAGAGGGCGGATGGGGGAGCCGAGCCGTCACAGCCGGGCGGCAGAAAAGCAGCCAGCGGCCGACCTGCCACGCAGAGTGGCGGAGGGGGGAGCAGCCTGCTGCGGCGACCGCCGAGGGCAGGGCCCGACAGCGTCGCGGGCGCAGGACGCCAGAGATGGCCAGACTGCAGGGACACCAGCACGGGGCGTGACGAGGCGAGAACGAAAAGCTCGGGCGCGGCCCGGATGGGAGGGGTTAAATGTGTGCGCCCTACTCTGAACGCGGACGAATCTGGCCACCAAGAGCAAACAGCTCGAGACATCCTCAGGGTCTGGCTCCCCTTGGGAGCGAAAACCAGCGCCTGGGCTCGAGACATCCTCAAAATCTGCTCCGAAAGCAGAGGATGTTGCGCCCCGAAACAGGCGAACCGCTCGAGACATGCCCGCCATTCTGACGCGAACGGAGGAGTGCAATACCCCCTGGCGGCTCCCCCGTGGGGATGCTGAAATCCGCGCCTCGCTCGAGCCTTCCTCAGAACTTGCTCGGCCATCATCCTCATCCTCATCCTCATCCTCATCCTCATCCTCATCATCAGCATCATAAATCATCATCATAATCATCCTCATCATCATCAGCAGCAGCATCATCAGCATCATCATCAGCATCATCATCATCATCATCATCATCATCATCACCACCACCACCACCACCACCACCATAATCATCATCATCATCAGCATCATCATCATCATCATCATCATCATCATCATCATCATCATCATCATCATCATCATCATTGTCATCATCATCATGAACCTCATAACCATCATCATCATCAGCATCATCAGCATCATCAGCACCATCATCGTCAGCATCATCATCAGCATCATCATCATCATCCTCACCAGCATGATCATCACCATCATCAAAACATCTGGCCACCAAGAAACGAGCAAACCGCTCAAGGCATCCTCAAGATCTGCCCCCCCAATGGGAGCGAAAACCAGCGCCTCGCTCGAGGCATCCTCAAAATCTGCTCCGAAAGCGGAGAATATTGCGCCCCGAAACAGGCGAACCGCTCGAGGCATCCCCGCCGGTTTGGCGCGAACGGAGGAGTGCAATACCTCCTGGCGGCTCCCCATCTAGGGATGCTAAATTCCGCGCCTCGCTCGAGCCATCCTCAGAACTTGCTCCGCCGTCAGCATGATGATGATGATGATGATGATCAGCATCATCATCACCACCACCACTATCATCATCAGCATCACCTACAAGAGGATAACAGAACATGGCACAAAATAACTCAACATTCCACGGCATGGCATAACAGTGGATATCATCGCATGCAAAAGCAGAATATAACACATCATAATATGTAAAATCCTGGCATGGCATATCATGCCGTAACACAACATAAGTAGCATGACACACCAAAACAAAACATAGTATAGCAACTCATACCATAAAACAACACATCATATCATAATATAGCATTAAGGAAAGGAGAAAGGGGTGTGTGGTGGCACGGTCGGAAATAGTATTCACTGCGTGGAGCTCCCCATATGTGCATCTATTAGCATGGACCTGTCCGCCGTGAGCGTCTAGGCGCGAGAGTTTTCGGATATGAGCGGGCTTGGGTATCGACGGTCTGGAAGCGAATCTAACTGTAATGAGTTGGAGCGTGAATGAGTCTCCGCAATACGAGCGCGTCTCTGCGCATGGGCCCGGGGACTCCTGTGGCCTCCCGGAACCTCCAGGGGCTTCCTGGGGCCTCCTGGGGCCTCCTGGAGCCTCCTGGGGCCTCCTGTGGCCTCCTGATGCCTCATCCTCCTCCTGGCACCTCCTGTGGCCTTCTGGAGCCTGCTGGAGCCTCCTGTGGCATCCTGAGGAGGATCCGTGCCCACGAGTCTGGCCAGCAAAATACGCAAACCGCTCAAGACATCCTCAAAATATGCCCCCGCCTTGGGGGCGAAAATGAGCGCCTCGCTCGAGACATCCTCCAAATCTGCTCCAAAATCAAAGGATGTTGCGGCACCAAAACAAGCAAACCGCCTGAGATATCCCCGCAATCTGGGCGCGAACGGAGGCCGTGCAATACCCCTGGCGGCCCCCCCTTAGGAGTGCGAAAACCAGCAAACCGCCCAAGACATCCTCAGAATCTGCTTCAAAAGCGAAGGACGCTGCGGCACCGAAGCAAGCAAACCGCCTGAGGCATCCCCGCACTGGGCGCGAACGGAGACCGTGCAATACCCCTGGCGGCCCCCCCAGTGCAAAAACCGGCAAACCGCAGGAGACATCCTCAGAATATGCTCCGAAAGCGAAGGATGCTGCGGCACCGAAACAAGCAAACCGCCTGAGGCATCCCCGCAATCTGGGCGCGAACGGAGGCCGTGCAATACCCCTGGCAGCACCCCTTAGGAGTGCGGAAACTAGCAAACCGCCTGCGACATCCTGAGGATCTGCTCAAACCGCTCAAGACATGGTTGCAATCTGGCCCCCTCTGGTCATCAGCACCATCATCGCAATCACCGTCATCATCATCATCATCATCATCATCATCATCAGCAGCAGCAGCAGCATCAGCATCATCATCATCATCATCATCATCATCATCATCAGCAGCAGCAGCAGCAGCAGCAGCAGCAGCAGAATCAGCATCATCACCATCACCATCAGCATCAGCATCATCATCATCGTCATCAGCATCATCATCAGCATCATCAACATCATCATCAACATCGTCATCGTCATCGTCATCGTCATTGTCATCGTCACCATCAGCAGCATCATCATCATCATCATCAGCATCATCATCATCATCAGCATCATCATCAACATCATCATCATCATCATCATCATCAACATCATCCGCATCATCATCATAATCAGCATCATCATCATTATCAGCAACAGCATCACCATAATCATAATCATAATCACATCAGCATCAGCATCAGCACCATCATCATTACCATCATCATCATCAACAGCAGCATCATCAGCAACATCAGCATCAACAGTATCAGCATCATACCAACTACGACCATCATCATCATCATCATCATCATCAATATCGTCATCATCATCAGCTCATCATCAGCATCACCATCATCATCACCAGCATCCTTCAGTCATCGGGGTCATTACCATCACGCTTCACCAGCATCATGCATCACCTGCATCATCACCATCGTAATCACACTCGCATCGTCATCATTCGGCGTCATCAGACTCTGAGTGCAACGTCAAACTCAGAGTAGGACGGGGAAGAGGGGGAGGATGACGGGAGGAAGGAGGTCCGCGCGGTCACAGTGATTATTCACTGCGTGGAGCTCCGCATGTGTGCATCTAGTAGTATGGACCTGTCCGCCGTGAGTTTCCAGGCGCGAGAGTTTTCGAATATAACCAGGTTTGACGATCGACGGTCTGGGAGCGAATCTAACTGTGAATGGGTTGGAGTGTGAATAAGTCTCAGTAGTAGAAGTGCGCCTCTGCGCATGAGCCTGGGGCCTCCTGGGGCCTCCTGAAACCTCCTGGGGCTTCCTGGGGCCTCCTGGAGCCTCTTGGGGCCTCCTGGTGCCTCTTTGGGCTTCCTGTGGCCTCCTGAGGCCTCCTGGGGCCTCGTGCGGCCTCCTGGGGCCTCCTGAAGCCTCCTG